ATGTGGACAATACAGAACTCCCCGCAGGCGCGCGCGGGAGTAGTTTTGCAATGTCCACAGTAGAGAAGTCGGCGCGTCCGTCGGCCTCCTTAAAGGGCCACAGAATTTTCAAATTCAGTTTTTGGAATTACACGTCTGCTTTTGTAGCGTGGACAATACAGAATTTTCCACGCGCGCGCATGTGGAGTTTTGCATTGTCAACATTAGAAATGTAAGCGCGTCCGTCGGCCTCCTGAAAGGGCCACAGAAATTTCAAATTCAGTTTTTGGAATTACATGTCGACTCTAGGACAATACAGAACTCCCGCGAGCGCGCGCGCGGGCGCGCGGTGAGTTCTATGTATAGATTGCCCACAATCGAGGAGTAGGCGCGTGCGTCGGCCTCGATCAAGGGGCCGCAGACAGATCAGCGTTTGGAATTACACTGCCAAGCAACCAGTTGACATGCTGCAAACAATCAAGGCATGCTGCAAAACAATCAAGGCATGCTGCACCAAGTCAAGGCATGCTGCGACAAATCAAGGCATGCTGCAAAAAAAACAAGGCATGCTGCAAAAATCGAGGCATCCTTCAAAAAAGCAAGCCGCTTGAAAAAAAAAAAAAAAAAAAAAAAAAAAAAAAAAAAAAAAAAAAAAAAAAAAAAAAAAAAAAAAAAAAAAAAAAAAAAAAAAAAACGATTCATCAACTCAAAATCAATCCGTTCGACATAAATCAATGCGTCGAAGGCACCTTGAACAAATCATGGCGCAGGATGTCTGGGGAGGTCTGCTGGCCGCCAGGGGTGCCCGGCAGGGCATCAGGATTCGGGCGTCGGAGAGCACGAATGTCTGGGCCGCCCGCGGGGGGGGGGATCACGACCCCGAGGAGACCTGGCGCCACAGAGAGCTGCCGTGACGCTCGATGAGGCCGTCGCTCTATTCTCTCCTGGCCTGACGGGCCATGTTTCTCCTTGCGAGGTCTGCTGGCCACCGGGGGCGCTCTCGCGGGCGTCAGCGCTCAGACGATAGGAGGCAGGAGTGCCTTGTTCGGCTATGGAGGCGGAGGGGGGGGGGGGGAGGCGCAATCCTGGGGGGAATGTTGCCCGAGAGGGCTGCCGCGTTGGTCGATGTGGCCGCGTCTCCGCCGCCCTCTGGCCTAGCGGGCCCTATGTCAGTTTTGGGGGCCGATAAAACCGAAACCGCGTTCCCTTCCGGCCTAATGGGCCCTGTCTCTCCTTGCGAGTCCGATGGCGCAACCGAAGCGATCCCTTCTGGCCCAACGGGCCCTGCTTCACTCGGAGAGGTCTGCTGGCCGCCAGGTGCGCCCGGTAGGGCATCGGGGCTCGGGCGTCGGAGGGCGCGCGCGCCTGGGCCGCCTGCGGGGGAGGGGGGGGCCTAACGGGCCCGGGTTCACTTTGCAAGGTCCGCTGGCCGCCAGGGGCGCCCATGGGGGCATGGAGGGCGAGAGGGCCTCGCTCACCTGAGGGAGACAGGGGGGCGCGACTCTGAGGGGGCCTGCGGCCGCTGAAGGCGTCCGCGCCTGCGCCAGTTGGGGAGGCACCGCAGGGCGCCCTTCTGGGGGGGGGGGTCGGGCGGCGTTCGCGCGAGGCGCCCCCGTGGCCCAGTGCCCTGCGATCGGGGTTGGGGCGGAGGCGCCCTGTAGAGCAGGCGCCCGCGGCGTCGTCGCAGCCGCGCAAGCCCCCCCTGGGAGAGAGGGCTGGCTTTCGGAGGGCCCTGTGGATGGAACGGAAGGGTGGGGGAGATGGAATCGAAGGTGGGGAGGGGGGGGGGGAGGGGGCGGCGCCGTCTTGCGCACCAGAGCTGCTAGGGCTACCAGGGTTGCGGCTAATGGCCGCTTCTTCTCTTGAGTCAGTCGGGTCTGCCCTGCCGGTTCTTCTCTCCTCGGCTGACAGCCGAGTTGGCCATCCTTCCTTCACCGGGGTCTGCAGAATCGATCGGGGGATCCGACGTGAGATCGATCATTCTGAAAGTCGGTCAAGTTCCCCCCTGAGTCTGGAGGCGATAGCTGTCCGGGGGGGATCTGGGAGAGGGTGTGATCCAGGGGGGGGGGGGGGGATGGCTGCGGCCAGCGCGTGGCCTCCCAGGTCCTGCGCTAGGCTCGCTCGTACTCCCACCCTGTCTTCCATCAACCCGATCGATCTCGAGATCGGAGATCCCATCCTCCATCGCGCTGGGCGCCTCGCTGGATGCAGGGCCGCAAGCGAGGGCGGCCAGGTATCAAGCGGGGCCCGGGGAGCCGCGGGCAGGCGGGGGGGGCCGCGGCGGCCCGGCGGCGCGTCGGGCGCCCCCTCGAGAGCGGGGGTTGCCCGCAGACGGCCTGAGCCAGAGGGGCTCAAGAATTCAGATGTCCTTCTCCTCCACCCCTTTTTCCTTATGAATAATTTCTTCCTGTCGCACCCCCAGACGTGTCGGTAGGGCGGGCGGGGCGTTTCGCCTGAGACCGCCTCACCATTTATGACCCTGAAACGTCACATCTGCGGCAACTTCACGAATGGGGGGCGTGCCGTTTACAACACGTGTTTCCCGTCTTACCGCCGCGCGCATTCGTCATACAAGTTTACAACAAGTTTACGGATGGAGGACAAGTGGTTTTCGAAATGTGGCCGTCGCCTTACCGCCGTGCGCACTCTTCTTTAAAAGTCGCAACAGCTCCGCGGATAAACGACAATTGGTTTTCAACATGTGGTTCTCGACTCAGCGCCGCACGCATTCGCCTTAAAAGTTTGAAACAGATTCGCGGATTGAGGGCGGCTGGTTTTCAAAATTTGGCAATTGCGTTTCGCCCGCGCGCATTTGTCTGAACATTGTACAGCAGGGTCGAGGATTTGCACGGCTGAAGTCCCAGGAACGGTGTTATTTCACTTTGTTCGGAGTGTCAGGACGCAGAAGTCACGCCAGCTCGCGGTGTTACAGTTCCAGGAATGGTGTTGTGGCACAGATCAAGACTATCAGGGCGCGGCGTTGAAGTCCCAGGAGTGGCATTCTGACGCGATAGAAATTCTCAGACGGTTGTCGTCGAATGGGCCATTTCCCAGAATCTAAATATTTTGGTGCGGACTTGATCAACTATGAAGAGGGAACTTGGAGGAACTGTTCATTGCAGCATCGTTGCTGCGCCTTGGATTTGCACTGGTCCTCCTCCTCCTCCTCCCCCTGCTCCCTCTCCCTCCGACCTCCTTTTCGTCCTCATCTTTCTCCACTGATTCCTCCTCTTTCGAAAGAGCCGCGAAAGCACAATCATACGATTTTCTCCCAGGCCGCTGAGGCCGACTTCGCCGCCTCTGTGCTGCTCTCACGATCTGACGATCCCCTGACAAGGGCAAGTCGCCTGGGCGTCCTTTATATACGGACTGTCGGGCACACGCGGAACGCCACGAGTCTGGCCACGAGTCTGGCCCGCGTGTCAATCTTAGGGATAAGGATACGTTCGAGGCTGGTGAGGGGCGGCGGCGAATCGCCGGAGGCGCCCCGGCGGGAGCCCCGACGCTGCCCGAGCCCACGGCGGGCGACGTGGCCGGCGCCATGCCCCGAGGCGCGCGGACCGCGACTGGAAGCGGAGGTGTGGCGGCGGGCCGCGCTCCCGCCGCCGCCCGCTCCCCTGCAGGCCGCCGGCTGCCCTCCGGCGCGCTGGCCCCTGGCGCCAGGCCTCCGATCTGGACGCCCGAAATGGGTACGGAAAGAATGGGTACAATGCCCAACAACCAATGTTGTCCCAAACCAACAGCGGCCGCTGTCGGGCAAGCGGCCTTCTGTCTCAAATGGACACAGACCGTGGCGGCGCGGACAGCGAGTCCTGTCCAAAATGAACAGGAACTGCTGTTGGGCATGGTACCCATTCTTTCGGTACCCATTTCGGGCGTCCAGATCCGACGGCGCGCACCGCGGCGCGGGCTGGCATGTGGCAGTGGCAGGATGAGCGGAAGCCGTTCTGCCTTGAGCCAACACGGCTACGGAAATGTAGTGTGGCGAGCGTCCCTGGAAGAATTGACCTGGACGACTCAGGTCGTCCCACATGTGAACTAAGTGCGAAACCTGACCCGCGAAATTTAGGGACCCGCCCCACGGGTCATACTTACTCCTAGGTTTAGCATCCCCAAGAAACAATACCTATACAACGAATCGGAACATACAAACCTATGGTGACACAAGTCCGCACATCCAAGGAGACGACGAGGGAGAGAGAGGAGACCCGATCGCAGACCCTGGACTGGGATATAACACGGTCGCCGAGTTACATGGTCCACACAATCCGATCCATGAAACGAGCCGTTTGTCCTGCTCCAATGTCCGTCGGGAGGCTGCCTGAGAGTGGTCCTCGGCGCCAGGCCAGCCACGACGGCGGGAGATCTCGTCGCCCTGGTCCACCAGCACTAGATGTGCGAGCAATTTGGCCAACGCAGCGTTACCCTTACTGACATCGTCTTTAGTCATCCCATCCACGGGCGCTCTCCCGTGCGGGATCCAACGGATATGGCCAGGAGGAGGCGCGCGGAGCGCGCCGGGGGCAACGCTGGAGGCGCCGCCAGTGGGAAGGGCCTAGCGCCGATCCAACAAGGACTCCGCACGGACCTCCGAAGGCTTCTGTCTGTGCCGTTCTCTCTTCGCCGTCACATTGCGAGATTGAGGGGGAACGTGTGGACCAGCTCCGGGGAGGAGCTATCGAGTTGGGATCGGCGATGCGTCGCCGATAGATCGGCGATGGGCTCCCGATCGCGAAACCGCACGCTCCTGGGCGGGGTGGGCCATCGGCTCCCCATCGGCAATTGTTGCGGCGGCGGCCCCGGCGGCACGCAATGCTCTGCGAGCAGATAGCGTGTCCCTCCGCTCCGCGGGGCGGGAGGATCAGAAAAGCTCGGGACGTTGACGCTTGGGGAATGGGACGTGGATAGCGTGTCGATCCGAAGCGTGGTGGGCCAGAACAGGCGGAGCGACACGCTGAGCCAAAACTCCTGACCGTATCTCCCCCTGGCGTTGCCCCCGCGAGGAGGGGCGGCGCCGCCGCGGCCTTCAGCCACTGCAAGGGGAGGTCGCCGGAGCATAGCGGCGTTGACGCGGCGCCTCCTTGTACCTTGGGCTTCAGCCAGAGGACCTCCGAGCGGGTGCCAGGCGCGCCCCCTTCCCCCCGTGACAACGGGCGGCGGCTGGGGGGAATGGAGGGTCGAGAAGGAGGAGGAGGAGGAGGAGGAGGAGGAGGAGGAGGAGGAGGAGGAGGGGAGGAGGAGGAGGAGGAGGAGGAGGAGGAGGAAGAGGAGGATATGGGGATAAGGAGGAGGAGGAGGCGGAGCGGGATGGAAACGGAGGGTGGCGGAGGACGGAGGAGGGCGGAGGATAGAGGAAGGCGGAGGACGGAGGATGGAGTGGGATGGAGGATGGAAGAGGGTGGGCGCCGAAGTTAACGGGATGGAGCTTGGAGGGGGGAGGAGGAGGGAGATGGGGAAGGGAAGAGGAGGCAGATTGAGGTGGGAGGGGGATGAAGGAGGAGGTGGTGGAGGAGGAGGAGGAGGATCGAAGAGGATGGTGTTGGGGGGTGGGGAGCAGGAGGAGGAGGATGAAGAGGAGGATGAGGAGGAGGAGGAGGAGGATCAGGATGGGGAGGAGCAGGAGCAGGAGGAGCAGGTGGACGATAATCGAGGATGAAGAGAAATATCGAAAAGGATGCATGGCAGAGGGCGAGAAGGCTCCGCGGTACGGCGCGCTCCCCTCCTGGCGATCCCCCAGGCCTGGGCGTCGCGGATCGCGTTGTTCGAAGCGCGAGACGCGATCATCCTGGCGCCCTCGCGCCAGGCGTTCGTCCTGTTCGTCGCCGCCGAGGAGGAAGGCCGGCCCTCGGGCCCAGACCGCGAAGCGAGGCTCTCTCCCCGAGCCCCTGCGGGGTGGCCCGAGGGCTGCAGGGCTCCGCGCAAGCAGTGGAGACCGAACGTGACGTAGGGAACGGGCGCAAGGGGGGTGTAGGAGGAGGAGGAGGAGGAGGAGGAGGAGGAGGAGGAGGAAGAGAAGGAGGAGGAGGAAGAGAAGGAAGAGGGGCTGGAAACCGTGTGAGGGCCTGGGGCGTTTGAGTATTTTTGCAAAGGAAAGGAAACATGAGTGATAAAGAGAGAGAGAGAGAGAGAGAGAGAGAGACAAAAAAAGAAGAAGCTGAATTCGTGGGGCTGTGTGGAAAGACTATGTGGCGTGGGGTGTGTCTCCGCCCTCTCTCTCTTTCTCTCCTCTCTCCTTCCACTCCTCTCCTCTCCTCTCTTCTCCTCTCCTCTCCTCTCCTCTCGCTCTCTCTTTCTTCCGTCAGAATTCCATCAGAGGAGGAAGGCAGAGGAAGAATAATGAGGAAACTCCCGCCGCAGAGGTTCCAAGAAAAGGAAAAGTCTCTCGCCTGAAAGGTCCACAACAACTCACTCAAAAGGTAGCACCCGCCTGAGAGGTCTCCAAACCACTCACTCAAAAGGAAACTCACGCTTGAGAGGTCTGCAAAAAACGAACCAAGTCAGATTCCCACCTGCAATGGAAATAAATCAACAAACAAAAAACAGAGCAGCACCTTTCATCCCTGCAACTGCCCCCCAAAACAAATTCAGAGGAGAGCTCCTCCTCATCCTCCAAAGGATGGATGGGGAGAAGAGGGAGGGCAGCTAAGGAGGAATTCTCCGCTGAAGATTGTTTTTTTTGTTTTTGGGACAGTTGCAGGGATGAGAGGTGTTGCTCGTGGGTGGCTTGTTGTTTTACCTCTCAAGCAGTAGCCTGATTTTGAATGTTTTTGATTGTGACCTCTCAGGCGGGAGCTGCCTTTTAACTGATTTGCTTGGGGACCTCTCAGGCGGGAACCTGATTTTGAATGTTATTTTTGTTTCGGACCTTTCAAACGGGAGCTGCCTTTCAGACCAGTTTTTGTTTTGAACCTCTCAGGCGGGAACCTGATTTTGAGTTGTTTTGGAACCTCTCAGGCGGGAGCTGCCTTTTAGTTGGGTTGTTTGGGGCGCCTCTCAGGCGGGAGCTCGATGTCGGATCTTTCTGTTACGGGCGATGATGAGGAGAACGAAGGGAAATATGACGAGGGAGAGGGGGGGGAGGCGGCGGGATACCCAGTAGCGGGGGGAGGAGGAGCAGCGGGGGAATACAAATCCACTCACAACCATTGGTTTTGTCAATTGTATGTTGCTGGCGCCTGTATGGTTTCCCAACCGATTTCCTAAGTTAGGATGTGCGGCGGTGCTGGCGTTGCCAAACAAATTCTAATGTTTGGTACCAGCTGTAATCCAAGACATGATATTGCTGTTTCCCCCAATGTTCGGTTGTTGGCGCCTGTATGGGTTTCCCAATCGATTTCCTAATGTGGGATCTGCGGTGGTGCTGGCGTTACCAGGTGTATCGGTTGGAACAAACGAGCCTGTTTTCAAACAAGAAACCACACATCGAAGATTTTGGTCTAACCAAAGTTCGGCTGATGGCGCTTGCGCGTGCTTCTCCCATATGTTCCCTGTTTCAAGATATGTGGCGGCGCATGGCAGCGGTGCAAATTATGAGGATGAGGGTGAGAACGATGTGTTTTCGCAACAATTCAGGCTGATATGTGTATATACGCATGTGCATATATTTATATATAATGTATCATGTTCGGGAAATCTTGTGCTAGACGAAAAAGACACGAGGTCTAAATGCCCATGCCAATTCGCAATCTGGTTCTTTATGCGCACGCGCCATGGAACATTACAGCGCGAACGGGATGGGCGAGGAAAGGGGGGAGGACGAGGGAGCGAGGGAAATAGGGACGGAGAGAGGAGAGGGCAGAATCTATAAATATCAGCGCTGAGTCACTGCTTCGCGCGTTTGCACGGCGCGGCGTTTACACGATGACCCCCGCGTATACCGAGATGTCATCTGGTTTCGGAACCCCGCTGGCGGGACAAAGGTCATCTGTCTCAAGAAGGGAACCCAGATCGTGGACGGACTGTGGAATAGGTCCAGAGTATACTTTCGGACGTGGATTTGGAACATGCGCAGGGCTGGCAAGAACGCGCTGGCTGAATTCAGCAGGTCTGTCTCGAGCTTGCGCAACGAAAACTGATATCTTGTTCTGGGTGTAGCTGATCCGCCTTTGGCTTCGGAAAAATGTCAGCCATATGCAGTCGCTCTCGGGCTCTATCTTTCGCGCGGTGCAGTGCGCGTCATCATCGGTGTCCGATGTCTCATTTTATTGAGCGGGTGCGTTGTGGCTTCCAAGAAATATGCTCTGGAAGTTGTTTTTTTTTTTTCTCTCTCTCTCTCTCTCTCCCTCTCTCTCTATCTCTCGCTTTCTAAATCTCTCTCTCTCTCTCTTTCTCTCTTCGTTTTTTTCAAAAACACTGAAACGGCCCAGACCCTAATACGGGCTGGCGCCGGAGGAGGAGGAGGACCAGTGTAAACGCAAGACTCATCAACGATGTTGGGATAAACCTTCCCTCCAAGATCCATCTTCGTAGGCCCCGACAGCGGTTCATTTCCACTGAGGGAACGGCCTCGTTGAAGGCAACCGTTTGAAATCCTGAAGCATGCCAAAACATTGTTCTCGGGATTCCAACGCCAATGATCAACCTGACTGTTGCGTCTTGACGATCCTGATTCGTGCCAGGTCGCCATTCCTGGGACCTCAGCACTGCGAGTCAACGTAACTGTTGCGCCCTCATCATCCAGAATCCTTCCAAAACACCATTTCTGGTACGGTGATAATGGGAATCCTTGATAAGATTGCACTTGTTTCAAAGACACAACGAATTTGCGCGTTGCTGAGGCGAGAGCCACGTTTTGAAAAAAGAACCGTCCTCAATCCGTGAATCCCTTGCAATTTTCTAAAACGAATGCGCGCGGTGCTGAAGCGAGAGCTACAATTTGAAAACGACCCGCCCTCAATCCGTGAAGCTCTTGGAAGTCGTTAGAGCGAATGTGCGCGGCGCTACGGTGATAACCACATGCTCAAAACGACCCGCCCTCAATCCGTGAAGCTGTCTCATTTTTTGGGTTGAAAAACAATGCGCGCGGCGCTAAGGCGAGAGCCACATTTTGAAAACGACCCACCCTCCATCTGTGAAGCTGGTGTCACTTGTTCAGCTTCAATGTCAAAGTGGTGAGAGAGTCTCAGGCGAAACGCCCGGCCCGCCCAAAAAAGTGGCCTCACGTGCGAAAGGGGGAAATTACTTACAAGGGAACGAAATGGAGGAGGAGGAGGAGGAGGAGGAGGAGGAGGAGGAGGAGGAGGAGGAGGAGGAGCAGTAAGAGGAGGAGGAGGAGGAGGAGGAGGAGGAGGAGGAGGAGGAGGAGGAGGAGGAGCAGGAGGAGGTGGAGGAGGAGGAGGAGGAGGAGGGGGAGGGGAGGGGGAGGGGGAGGAGGAGGGGTGGTGGTGGTGGTGGCCTGGGGAGGCATCGGGTGGGGCCGTGGGCACAGCCCCTTTAGCAGCGCCTCCCGTTCAGGGATGGCTGGGGTACAGCCCACCGCCTGTCCCGGGGATCCAGCAACCGCAGCGTCACGGCGCAACTCGGTCCAAGAGACCTCTGGGGGCGACCCCCCCTGGGACCTTTCCGCGTCCACCACGCAGACCACAGGAGGGCCAGCTGCACCCTCCTCCCTTACCCGCGGGCGGGCTTTCCAGGAAGAAGAGAAGGCTGCAGCTGGACGCCCTTCCAGGGACCGGGGTGAAAATGGGCCGCTCCCAGGGGGGACCCGGCTGCCTCAAGTGCCAGGAGGACACCAGAAACGCGGAGTGGGGATGGGCAGTGTGAGAGCTCTCGGTTCACCTCCACTGGGGTCCCGCCCGTCCGTACCAACCCTGATGCCACCGCAGCGCGCAGCTACGAGGCGTTGAGAGAAGGCCGGAGGAGACCCTCCCCGGAGGAAAAGGAGGAGGAGGAGGAGGATGAGGAGGAGGAGGCGGAGGTCCAGCTGCCACGACCATCTGATCCAGGCCCGCGCAGGGTCAGAAAAAGAAGAGGTGGAGCCGAGCGTAGCAGAAGAGCGGTGTGCCCACCGGACGAAGCAGGCGAAAGCGGCGAGCACATACGAGCAGAGCGCAGTGCCGCAAAGACTGCCGAGCGGAGATCATTTGGAGAGATCAGAATGGGCAACAAGTGGAGCATGTGATGGGCACGACATGCGATGGCGACCTCGTCGACGACCTTGACCGTCGGAGCATGGAGAGCCCATCGCGTGAGAGGACAAAGAGGGGCGAGGCTACGATCGAGGACAGTCGAGAGAGCCCAGCACAACTGTGGGCAAATGGTAGAATGGCACTGGCGATCGGGATAAATCTTACAGCCAAGAATGCACGCCGTGCGACCACCTGGGGTCGGGATCCAGTAAGACGTGCACCAAGTACCTGAAATAGTGTGGATGATGAGCCAGGCCCAAGGAGGGACAGAAATGAGAAGAAACTGGAGGGCACCACGCGGTGCGTTCTCGATCTCGGCCGCTCTATCTGGCCACCACGCCGTAAGGCAACGAATGAAGAGAGTGGGGGTCGTGTCGCCAGATCGCACGCGTCTGAGCGCACCCATGGCCCAGCGTTGCCAGCGCGGCCGGGAAGAAGGCAGGGCGGAGGGAGGGGGGGACAGAGAAGCTCGGTGGCGCAGGTGGTAGCGGCACCGATAAGACTAAGACCACGGCCAAGGTCGTCGGCGAATGCCAGGGATTGTCAATGCGACGGTGCGAGTTCCCGACTTCCAAGGAGCACATGCAACGATATCTCGTCTCCCAGAGAAGCCGCGTGAGGTCGCGACGGGGTGGGATGGAGTGAGTACTCAAGTATGCTGTGTCCGACAGCGCGTGCAACGATAGCTGCGCCATATTCGCTCCACGCCACGAGTGCAGCGCCAGACCGCCCCACATTCCCAAGCGAACTCAGCTTTCCGAAGCGGCCCTGGACCAATTGGAAGCCTTCTTGGGACAGAAGTCAGACTACGGGGCCCTGGGCGGGGCCATGGACCAGACCTACGAGATCCTGGCCAGCGACTTAACGAGTTTTTTGAGCAAGGTCACTGACGCGCCTCTTCGCAGCCAGCGCCTACGAGGTCAAGGACCTCAGCTCCGATGGGTGCCCGCATGTGCAGCGGAACGCGCTCGCCGTCGCAGCTGGCGCTCTCTTGCAGGCCCTCTCCGCTGGCTGAAGAACGAGAATTGAATCGCGACCGATCGACCGACGAGAAAAACTTGGCCGAATGGGTCAAGACAAATATGCAGCACGGAGTGGGATGGGGCCACAGATGGACCAAATATTTCAGCAGTTGGAAGCCTCAGCAAGTCTGGAAAGCCTCGATCGGAAGGTGGTCAGGAAGGCCGTACGACCTACTTAAAGCTGAAGCCGAACGTCTTTCGGATATCTGGGAGACTACCCCAAAAGAGCAGAAACATAAACATCGCAGACCTAGCCCTGAAGCCGTAGCCGAGCTGGAGCCCATCACTGTTGACATGATAAGAGCAGCAGCAAAGCGATTCAGCCATAACACGGCCTCCACCTACGACGGCTTCCATCCCAGGCACTTGCCGCTCTTAGGTGACACCGAGCTCGAGCTCGTGGCCCGCTTCATGCGCGCTTTCGAGGCGGTCGGCCTCCTGCCCTCTCAGGTGCGCGCGACCGTCACCATGCTCATCCCAAAGCACAAGCAGCAGGAGGGTTCCAAAGACAAGCCCAGCTACCGAGGGATAGGATTGATGAGTTCGATCTGGAGACTCTGGGCCAAGATAAGGCAGCCAGTAGCTCGACGATGGGAGTTTCAAAACAAGAGGCCTTATCTGGCCCATCAAGGAGGACGAGGAATGTTGGAAACCGTTTTCCTGCAGACCCTCGAGGCGGAATCGGTCCATTATGAAAGTGTTTCCAGGTTCACTGCTGCGGTGCTCTGGGACCTCTCAAACTACTACGAACACATCAATCGGGACAAATGGTTTTCCAGAGCGGTCGGCACAGGTTTCCATCAAGCTGTGGCGGTCTTGATTGCCAACCAGCATGGATCGCCCCGTCTAGTTGCCAACAGGTCGCAAGCAGTCTTCGTTGGCAGCCCGCAGTATGGAGCACCCGCAGGCTGCAGCTTCGCCACTTACGTTATACAGATGTATTGCATTGTGCCGCTCGATGTCTGGGTCCAGGACAACATAGGCACTAGCCTCCACATGTTTATAGATGACATCATCTTACAGGCCCAGGATAAGTGCCCCAAGACCCTGACCAAGACCCTTGCAAGAGCCTCAAAGAGTATGAAGGACACCATAGAGGAGGACTTAGACAGCAACATTGCCCTCCATAAGTCAGCCGTCTTAGCCTCCTCCTTAAAGGTTCGTGAGCCCCTGGTCAAGGCCCTCGGCTCACTAGCAGGACCCCAGGCTTCGAAGCGGGTCGACGCCGCCGCCAATCTCGGTATAGACTACACGGCTGGAGGTCGCGTCCGCAGCGGCCGTGGCCGTGCTGTTCTGCGCCCCCGCTTCAAGATGATGAAGCACCGCAGGCGCCGGCCCCAGGCTATCAAAAAGGCTGGGGCCGACATGCGAAAGTTGTACAAAACAGGCCTCGACCAGGCCAACCACTACGGGAGCGAAGTGGTAGGCCTGACCGATTCAGAACTCGCCCAGAGCCAGAACTTCTACCTCAGCACCGTTGGCCCCAGAAGCCCAACGAGATCCCGAGTCCTGAGCCTGTGCCTGCTTGGAGACCCCTCCTGGAAGGCCGCCTTGGGGCCCATCATATACTACAGTCTTCTGGCATGGAGGATCTCGAACCAACCTGGATTGCTCAAGTATGATCACGTTGCTTCGAAACAGAAGGTGAACCGAATCTTGGACAACCCTCCAAAAAGCTGGAGCGCATGCCGAGGGCCCATGGGGGCCGCCCTGCTGAGCCTCAAGAGGACAGGTTGGAAGTTCCTCAACCCGTTCGAGATAGAGACGAGCCAAGGTCTCACCCTCCAGCTCACTGTGACCCCGCCAGCCCTCCTCAAGTACCACTTGGAGGACGCCTGGAAGGCGCAGCTCGAGTTTAAAGCAGCAACCAAAATGGGACACCCTCAGGACCGTCTGGATTGCTCGGCCGCAAAAGCTGTTCTGGACGACCCGAACCTCACCAAGCCCCAGAGGGGCTGCCTCCTGGCCTACCTTACCCAATGTCTCTGGACAAAGTCCCACTTGGCTGCAGCAGGCTATGAGATCGACCAGGAATGCGAGTGCGGACACCCGACAGATGCCATGCAGCACCGTTTCAACTGCCAGCCCGTTGATGACATCAGAAGTGACACCCTAGAGGCCCCCGGTCTAGAATATCTTCGAGGGTGCCCCAGTGAAGCTCCACTAGCCCATGGTTTTCAATACCTTCCCGACCCCGTGTTTATAAGGCCCTCGGGGGTCGGCTTTGCTTTTGAGTTCTGGTCCAAAAACGGGGCCCCGCTTATAGAGGCCATGTCTGGCGAGGCCTTTGCTGACGGATCCTGCTATAAGCAAGGTCCCACCGTTTGGCATCAAACGGGCTGGTCGGTAGCTGTAATGGACGAAGCTGGTGACTGCAAGGCACACCTGTTTGAACAGACAGGAGCCGCTCTGCCGCCCACATCAGGAGCAGCGGAGCATCTTGCCCTTGCCATCAGCCACATGTACCCTAACATTACCCAGGTCCACTCGGACCACTTAGGAGCCATTAGGAAGTACAGTCAAGTAGGCTTCGATAGGAAGAATATGTACTCTGGGCTGGAGCTTGTTGCCAAATGTAATCACACTGGTGGTGCCCTCCCCCAAGTTTGTAAAGTAAAAGCGCACCAGGATTTAGACAGCCTTCCAGAAGGCTCCCGAAAAAAGTTTCTGGCCCTCGGGAACGACGCTGCCGACCGAATCGCCAAAGCGGCCGCGAAGAAGCTCGGGGGCCCCATCGGAAGCCGAAATCGATAAGTACCAGACCGATCAGGCCTTCATCAAGCGTTTCCTGCGGTTCGTCTCACAAGCCATGCTCACCTGGCCCGCCATAGCGCCGAAGCCAGGGGGAAAAACATGCGGGAAACCAGTTTCCAAGCCAGCTGTAAAGCCCCTTGTGGGTGCTGCCCTCATCGCCCCTGCTCCGCCTCCGCCTCCCCCTCCCCCTGTGGGTCCTGGGGCCGATGCTGGAGCCTCCCGTGGTCTGAGAGAACCAGGGCAGTACCACAAGTGGGTCTGGCTAAGAGGTAGATGGATGTGCGAGCTGTGTCGCACACGAGTTTTATCAACGGGAGCCAAGACCCGTCGCCAACACGAGAGATGCCCAGGGACCTGCCCTCCGCCTCGAGAACGAGAGCTGTGTAATGGCCTGCTGGAACTGCGGAGTCTATTCTGAATTCATGGCCAGAGGTTTCCAGAAAGCGTGCCTCAAAGAGCCCCAAAATAATAACAAGATAACGGCTATACGCTGTTTCAGGTCGCGCAGACATCCCAAGGATGGCATGCAAGGCCCCATCGTCTTTGCTGCTCCCATTCCTCTTGACATGATGGTTCGAGAGGCGCAACGGTCGTTGGGAATTTCATGCAGCAGCAGCAGCAGCGGCAGCTAGCCGCCCAGACAAGAACCCATTCAGTCAGATGCGCTGGTCCTCCTCCTCATCCTCCTCCCCCTCCTCGTCCTCCTCATCGTCTTCGTCCTCCTCCTCCTCGTCCTCCTCCTTCCCCCTTCCAATTTGTGGTGGTGGTGGAAAACAGGCCCATCATTCCTGGTGGAAGACGTAACGTGCCAGGGAGCACCGCCAGCTCACGACGAAGCACGGCAGGAAGGAGCTGAACAAGTTGAGCAACGTGGCTTAAGACAGGACCAGAGTAAAGGAAGATGGATTCACTCCTGGCAGCGGTCCCTTGGCTTACCGTGCGCGCGCGTGCACGAAGGCTGTCAAGTGGGGCTCGCAAAGACCGCCCTGGAGCAACGCCGGGGCCCATCCGAAGGCCTGTGGAGACAAGCTCATCCACGACGTCAAGCTCGAAGCACTGCGGCATATGCGACTGGAGCAAAGCCGTGATGAACGTAGCCACCTCCGCCGTGTACGCGGCGAGCAAGCGTACTCTCTTGCATTGGGAGGCTTTCAGAATCCATGGGGCGATCCTGGCCGCAATCTTCATCACGCGGGCAGTGCGCCACGGTGCCATGGCAGACGTAAGAGCGGCACCGAGGTCATCTGCGCAGGCACCAAGCCCAGGCTGCTCGATGCACGCCTCGAGGTCCTTGAGGAACGGTGAGAGAGCAAGCGCAGAGAGTGCTCCTGACAAGACACATCCTTGCACAATGCCAGACCAGATCCAGAACGCGTGCGCCATGGAACCGGCGGCAGATGCGACACCCACGATGGCACCTGTATGCTGTCATCAGAGAAGGAGGAGGAGGATGAGGAGGAAGAGGAAGGGAGGAGGAAGAGCAGGAGCAGGAGCAGCAGAGTGATGAAGAGGAAAAGGATGAGGAAGACCCAAAAAGCGAGGGAGGCGGCAAAACACACGCCATGCTGACAACATCCGAATCACATGCAGGCTCAACCCTGGAAACGAGTGGCACGCATGCCCTGGCTCTTGCACGAGGGAGCGGCGGGGGAAGGGAGGAGCGTGGGGCCAGGTGAACGGAAGTCAGGGAGGTCCGAGATCGAGGACGACAGCGAAGGCATGCATGCGAAACCCTGGGGGGGGGGGCAGGGTAACCAGGGGACCTGGGACCTGGGAGGCCAGGAAGGCCACGACGACAAGACGACACGACACGACGACGACGAATTTAAAGCAATCCGAAGTCCTGCAAAAAGGGAGGCCAGGGGGAGGAGGCCAGGAAGGCCGGAGTCCCGGGCTGCCACCCAGGACTGGATTGAAATAAGCCCTGGGGGAGGGGGACGAGGTCCAGGGAGCCAGGGCAACGGGGTGGGTCCAGGGGGCCAAGGTAAGGGGGGCGGCCAGGGCTGCGGGGGGGCCAGGGCAGGGAGGCCACCAAGGAGGCCAGGGCAGGAGGAGGTCAGGGCGGCGGGCACAGGGTCCCGGGTCCCGGGCAAGAAGACCACCAGGGAGGCCATGGCAGGGTAATCTGAGTGTGAGTGAGCCTGAGTGTGAGTGAATCCGGGTATGGTTGAGTGTGTGATTGAATTAAGATATGAGAGTCTGAGTACGAGTGGGTCTGAGTATGCGCAAGTCTCAGTATGTGTGAGCCTGAGTGAGAAACAGTCCGAGCGTGGGTAGGTCTGTGTGTAAGTAGGTCTGGAAGTGAATCGATGCGTTTGAGTCTGAGTCTGAGCGGGTCTGAGTACGAGCGCGTCCGACTACGAGTGAGTATGAGGATGTGCGAGTCTGAGTGTGAGCGACTTTGAATGTGAACGAATCTGAGTGTGAGGGGATGAACATGAGTATGAATATGATGTACGAATCTTCGAATGGGTGAATCTGAGTACGAGTGAATTTGATAATGAGTGAGTCCGAGGGTGGGTAAATCTGGGTGTGAGTTTTTACGAGTGGGACTTAGCCTGAATGTGAATGAGCCTGTGTGAGCGAATCTGAATGTGAGCGATCCGATGGGTATGATTGAATATGAGTATGGTTGAGTCTGAGCGTGGTGAGTGAGCCTGACTGAGAAAGAGGTGCTGGTAAGAATGTCTGAATGTGAAGACGTCTGAGTAAGAAAGAGGAGGGGGAGGTGAGTGGCTGACTGGCACCAGCCGCTACGCCTTCCCAGTCAGTTCTGGCGGCTGGATGTTTATTAGTCTGCCCAAGTCAATTATTTAAGGCACCCGGGTGGGGGGGGCATTTCTTTAAACCGCTTGCTACCATTATGCGCCAAACTGAACTCGGCGTCAATGCTGTCCCCATCCGTCCCGGCTGCCACGCCTTCTCGAGAAACGCGCGCGTCGAGTTCAAATTCGCATTGCTAGCCTGCCACCCTGATGCCGGCATACACCGTCAGTATCACGTGTCAGCGGCTGCTTCCAAATCGTTCATGTGCTCAACATTGGCCGCGGGAAGGGAAGGAGAAAGTGCAAGAGCATCGGAATCGTCAGAATGCGTTTCGCGATCCTCTCGCATGCCCTGCTCTCCACGCAAAACCACTTCGTGTTCAACATGATCTGACTTGCAGTACTTCCAAAGATGAAGCCTGACCTGCTTGGCACGAAGGCGGCGAGCTTTCGATTTGGAAGCGCACGCAAAATCACCTGAATAAAAATCCGGCTCTTGAAGGCCACACGCATTCCCGCAAAAGTGTTTCGCCTGAAATTGACCGAAGAACACCCAATGGATAGCCACGATAGCATTGCCTACTGACACCAGGCGACTTTCAACTGATGATAAGCAACCGAAAACGGACGCTGGCGATACAGAAGCGAAAATCGGATACGCACAAACTGGCACATCACTGAAGACGCGAATACTGTATACAGCCCCTCTCTTTGAGCCAGTTGCCTCCTCGAGCATCCTTAATCCTACGCTTCCTTTCCTCCTCTTTCATCATCCTCCTTCCTCCTCGTCCACCGCTGCATTCCGCATGATCCTTCGCTCCTCCCAATCTTCCCCTTCCACCTCCCCACCCTACCCCTTACTCCTCCACCTCCCCTTCCTCACCCTCGCTCCCTGCTCCTCCTCCGCTCCCTCCTCCTTCTACTCCCTCCTCCACCCTTTCCGCACTCCTCCTCCTCCTCCTCCTCCGCCTCCTCCTCTCCTCCTCCTCCTCCTCCTCCAGAAGTTTGCCTGATGATTGACCAAATCGCTTGATGAGAGGCAACCACCTTTGCAACATTGAATACAGTATTATCGAAACAATGCAACAAAGTACAAGCAAGTGAATGGAATATGGAGAGTGTGACAGCGAATACAATTTGTCGAAACGCTGTAACAAGGGCACAAGCATCTTTGAATTATGTGCCCACCCCCACGGGCCGAGTGCACCCATTATGGTGGGGTGTCTCTTGTCCGGGGACGCGCCTGCCTTAAGGGCTGCAGGCGCCCGTGGTCCGTTCCGTCTCCAGCGTGACGCGGGGCAGGCCGACGTTGACATGAACGACACCTTTGTGTCCGACGTAGGGAAAACACCACGTGCAAAGCGTTCTGTGAGCTTCCTCTTGACACAATGTCTGGCTTCGAGCACGGTAGCTGTATTTGCCAGAAGATGTCGAACCAGGCTACTAAACCCTAACTATCTGGCCTTCACAGAAGGGAGGAAACGACTGCCCCCTCTTTCGTGACATCGTCGGCACCTGGCGGCTTGGCCGCAGGTGCCCCCTTTTTCCTTGAATGTCCGACCCCCCGCCCCCGTGACCAGAGCACTGACTGGAGCGCAGGACGGCGGAACCGACTTCGTATCCCAGTTCTCGGGCACCACAATCAGAGCGCACGTGCGAAGCCCCCTCTTTGATAAAGCGACCACTGCTACTACTCTGGCTGATGGGAAAAATGCTGCACCGCCGAAGGCGAGCTCTTGGAGAGACCTTCGGCTGATAACCAGAAGTTTGCCTGATGATTGACCAAATCGCTTGATTAGAGACAACCGCCTTTGTAACACTGAATACAGTATTATCGAAACAACGCAACAAAGTACAAGCAAGTGAATGGAATATGGAGAGTGTGACAGCGAATACAACTTGTCGAAACACTGTAACAAGGGCACAAGCATCTTTGAATTATGTGCCCACCCCCACGGGCCGAGTGCACCCATTATGGTGGGGTGTCTCTTGCCCGGGGACGCGCCTGCCTTAAGGGCTGCAGGCGCCCGTGGTCCGTTCCGTCTCCAGCGTGACGCGGGGCAGGCCGACGTTGACACGAACGATACCTTGGTGTCCGACGTAGGGAAAACACCACGTGTAAAGCGTTCTGTGAGTTTCCTCTTGACACTGTGTCTGGCTTCAGGCACGGTAGCTGTATTTGCCAGAAGATGTCGAGCCAGGCTACTAAACCCTGACTATCTGGCCTTCACAGAAGGGAGGAAACGACTCCTCCTCCTCCTCCTCCTCCTCCTCCTCCTCCTCCTCCTCCTCCTCCTCCCCCTCCACGCACCGCCGCTGGGCGCGCGGCGGTGTCGAGGAGGCCGCGCACGGAGAGCTCGAGGTCGTTCTGGTCCTCGGCCCCGGGGGGCGTCTCTCTCTCTCTCTCTCTCGCTCTCTTTCTCTCTCACGGGGGCCCTCCCGCCCTGCCTCCACGGAGGGAGGAGGGAGGGAGGGAGGGAGGGAGGGAGGGAGGGAGCGGAGCCGTTGGCGCACGGCCCAGACGTACCGAGGAGGGTCCAAGCTCTCTTCCCCACGGAGGGCCATCAGGCACTACCCGCCCCTGCTCCTGAGCCGCTGCCGGAACTGTTGGCGGGTGCCTTGAAGCAGTGGCCAAGGCCCTCGCCCACACGCCCCGCAGGGTGGCCGCTTGCCTCGGCGGCTCACGCTACGAGCACTGGAGGGCCCTCCTGGAGGTCGCCGGAGGGGCGGACAAGGTCTGTGCCCTGGCGATATTGCTGGCCGAAGGGCGGGCGCCCCACGGAGCACAACGAGCCTTGGCGCGCGGGCGGTTGATCCCGCTGCAGAAGACTGGAGGCGGGGTGCGGGCAGTGGTAGTCCAAAACACCTTGCTGGCTCTGCTGCAGAAGGCACTGGCGAACCTCCTCGGACCTACAATCCGGGCGCACACGGCGCCCTTCCAACATGGGGTAGGCACGCCTGGCGGGGCAGCGACCGTGGTGCATTTGACGGCGGCTGCCCTGCAGGCCAACCCAGACTGAGGCCTGCTCAGCCTTGACCTGTCCAACGCCTTCAACGAGCTGGACAGGCACTACTTGGGGCGCGCCCTTGACACGACGGTGCCCGTGTGGGCGCCGGTTGTGCGCCGCCTGCTGGCCGCCGACTCGGAGCACCTGCTGGTGACGGACGATGGTGGCGCCCACGTCCCGGTGCAGGTCCGATGCGGGGTACCACAAGGCGGTGCACTCTCGGCCTTGCTCTTCGCGCTGGGGATCAACGCCCCGGTGCGCGCGCTAGACGGTAACCTGCAGGCGGGCGGGGTCTCCAGGCAGCTCACCGCCTACATGGACGACGTCGATGTGGCGGCGCGCCCAGCCGCTTTCCCGGATACCGTGCGAGCGGCGACGCCGGCTTTCGCCGAGGCGGGACTCCGGCTGAACGCGTCGAAGACCACCTACTGGAAGCCCGAGGGTGCGCCTGAGCCAGCATTCGAGACGCCGCTCACGCGGGCGCGGCTCCCGGTGGCCCGGGTCCGGCAGCCAGAGAGAGGTCTTCCGCGTGCCCCTCGACGTGGGCGCCCCGGGCATGATGGAGGCGGCGGACCAGGTATGGCAGAGGCTACTGGATCGGCGCCGACGCGCCTGCGACCGCCTACAGCAACTGGCGCCAGCAGGGCTGGGCAGGCACCAGGCCTTCTGCCTCCTCCGCACGGTCGTGCCGGCAGATGTGAACTTCCACATG